AGAAGTCTGTCCATAATAAAGAGTTGCTCTGCCTTCCTAACAGCACTATCAACAAGGCATGTCCTACAGGCCCTAGTTTTGTCGCCACATGGACTACTGTTCAGTCATGTGGTCAGGTGCCACAAAGAGGGATTTAGGAAAATTGCATTTGGCTCAGAACAGGGCAACACGGCTGGCCCTTGGATGTACACAGAGAGCTAACATTAATAATATGTATGTCAATCTCTCCTGGCTCAAAGTGGAGGAGAGATTGACTTCATCACTACTTGTATTTGTGAGAGCTATTGAAATGTTGAATGCACCGAGCTGTCTGTTTGAACTACTGGCACACAGCTCTAACACCCACGCATACCCCACAAGGGATGCCACCAGAGGTCTCGTCACAGCCCCCAAGTCCAGAACAGGCTATGGGAGGCGCACAGTACTACATAGAGCCATGACTACATGGAACTCTATTCCACATCAAGTAACTGATGCAAACAGTAGAATCAGATTTTTTAAAATAGATAAAAATACACCTTATGGAACACTGAGGACTGTGAAGAGACACAAACACAGGCACTATACACACACGTACACATGGATTTAGTGTTGTAGAGTAGTGGCCTGAGGTCACAAACTTAATGTGTTGTGAAATCTGTTGTGATTGTATTGTAATGTTTTAGAAATTGTATAAACTGCCTTAATTTTGCTGGACCCCAGGAAGAATAGCTGCTTGGCAGCAGTTAATTAAAATGTAATGAAATCACATGTTATTGGTCACATACACATATTTAGCAGATGTTATTGCGGGTGTAGCGAAATACTTGTGTTCCTAGAGTGCAGTAGTATCTATCAATTCACAACAATACACAGAAATCTAAAAATAAAATAATAGAATTAAGAAATATATAAATATTAGGACGAGCAATGTCAGAATGGCTTTGACTAAAATACAGTAGAATACAGTATATTCATATGAAATGAGTAAAACAGTATGTAAATATTATTAAAGTGACTAGTGTTCCATTATTAAAGTTACCAGTAATTCCATGTCTATGTACATAGGGCAGCAGCCTCTAAGGTGCAGGGTTGAGTAATTGGGATCCATAATAAATACAAATAAAATGTTGCTCCAAAAGTAATTACAGTTTTATTACACAGGCACAAATAGTTGTAGTCACCTCCAAATTAACTGTTTGTTCCCACAGAAAAATTGTTCCAGGGGAACAAATAGTTACTCTGGAGGTGATTACAACTATTTGAAAACAGATACCAACAAATGACTACTTTTTAAAACTATTTGAAAGCAGATCTCAGAAAAGTACTACTTTTTTTTAAAGGTCTGGTGCGTGTGTCCGTGCAGGTGTATGTGCGTCCGTGCGTGAATGTGTGCTTGTGAATGCGTGCCTACCTGTCTTCTTGCATGTGTGTGTGTGCGTGCAAATGCATGTGTGTTTGCGAACGGCAAAACAAGGATTCCAGTTTCCTCTCACCTTTGAAAGTGTGCGATTGTCATTCAAATCCCCCATGATTTGCGGGAAGCCGGGAATGTGGTGGTCTCAGAACACTTTATTTGATTCTGATTAGGACAGAGCAGCACCAGCTGTGTTCCCACATGCATTCACTTCCTCTCCCAGTCCTCCAAACAGTACTGTCTACTGACTCTACTCTAAGAGCAGCCGCATTGATTCGAGGTTTCGCATTTCAAAGTACTGCATTTCATACTGGAATAGGCCCCCACGCATCCCCCCTTTTAAGTTTCAAGTTTTAATGTCATGTGCACAAGTACAGTGACATGCTTTTCTTGCAAGCTCTAAACCCAACAATGCAGTAATCAATAACAATGTAATACTATAAATAGCATAAGGTAGAACAAAAACACACAATAAATAGAAATAAGAAGAACATGAGAAAGTAAGTAAGCATACTATATACAGAGTCAGTCAGTTCCAGTACCATATTAACAATGTGCAGGAATACTGGAGTGATAGAGGTAGATATGTATAGGCGTAAGGTGACTAGGCATCAGGATATATGATAAACAGAGTAGCAGCAGCGTATAAGATGATTGTATTTGAGTGGGTGTGCGTGTGTGTAGAGTCTGTATAAATGTATGTGCATATTATGTGTGTGTGAGCAAATGATGAAGTGAGTGTTTGTGTGTGTTTTTGAGTGTCAGTGTGCGTGAGTGTATAAGGCCCTGTGAGTGTCAACTCAGATAGTCCATGTAGCCATTTTGTTAGCTATTTATATATATATTGCAGTATTATGGCTTGGGGATAGAAGCTGTTCAGGAGTCTGTTGCTGTCAGACTTGATGCACCAGGACCACTTGCCATGCGGAAGCAGAGAGAACAGTCTATGGTTTGTGTGGCTGGAGTCTTTAACGATTCTCTGGGCCTTCTTTTCACGGCGCCTGATATAGAGGTCCTGGATGGCAGGGAGCTCGGTCCCAGTGATGTACTGGGCTGTCCGCACCACCGTCTGTAGTGCCATGTGATCGAGGGCGGTGCTATTGCCATACCAAGCAGTAATGCAGCCAGTCAAGATGTTCTCAATGGTACAGCTGTATAACTTTTTTAGGATTTGACAGCCCATGTCAAACATTTTCAACCTCCTGAGGGGAATGTGAGAGTGTTTGTGGACCATTTTACGTCACACCAAGGAACTTGAAGCTCTTGACCGGCTCCACTGCAGCCCCGTCGATGTGGATGAAGCTTCCGACCCTGTTTCCTGTAGTCCACGATCAACTCCTTGTTCTTACTGATGTTGAGGGAGAGGTTGTTGTTCCAGCACCACACTGCCAGGTCACTGTCCTCCTCCCTATAGGCTGTCTCATCGTCGCCGGTGATGAGGCCTACCACCGTCATGTCGTCAGCAAACTTGATGATGGTGTTTGAGTCGTGCGTGGCCACGCAGTCGTGGGTGAACAGGGAGTACAGGAGGAGACTAAGCACACACCGCTGTGGGGCCCGATGATGAGGGTCAGTGGGGCGGAGGTGATATTGCCTACACTCATTACCTCCGGTCAGCCTGTCTGGAAGTTCAGGATTTAGTTGCAGAGGGAGGTGTTCAGTCCCAGGTCCCTAATCTTGGTGACGAGCTTCAAGGGATCAATGGTGTTGAACACTGAGCTGTAGTCAAGGAACAGCATACTCGCATACTGTAGGTATTCCTCTTATCTAGGTGGGTGATGGCCGTGTGGAGTGCAATTGAGATTGCGTCGTCTATGGATCTGTTGGGGTGGTATCCAAATTGGAGTGGGTCTATGGTGTCTGCGATGATGGAGTTGATGTGTGCCCATAACCATTCTCTCAAAGCACTTCATGATTGCAGATGTGAGTGCTACAGGGTGTCATGTAAAAATCTTCCCAGCGTGAAATAGTTTGTGTTGTGATTGTGACATCAAGTTGTAAACATTTTCTGTGTGGATGGCTGAACTCGTTTCTCTCACACCCCCTCGCCCTTGATTTATCTAGCTAACTAGCATAATTAGCTGTAAACTGGTCGAGATGGCTTGTTCTCAGAGGTGTGCAGTTTTAACTTGTTTGTATAGCTAGCTAACTAACTAACTAACAAACAAATATATGCACTGTCAATCGAAAACATAGCACCCAAGTCTTTGCAATCGCAAAAAATCGCTCCTCACATTAACCCTCAGCACTTTGACGCGCGATTCCGGGTATCTATATACTGACCTGATACCTCAACAAGCTTCTGATTGGTCAGAGTCAATACTCCTGGCCACCATTGATTGGCAGACGTGTAAAGCAAATGCGCGTGCCCACAGAACTGTTTTTTGAGGTCGAGGGAGTGTGAGAGAGAAATATCCGCACGAGCTCAGCCATCCACATAAAGAGATACGTGTGCAATTATTATAGGTGGGAACATTTTCACATGGCAGTATTCATTTTGCATTAAGCCTTATAGTTATTGGGATCAGGAATGATGGTGGTCATCTTAAAACATGTGGGGATTATAGACTAGGACAAGGACAGGTTGAAAATAACCGTGAATATGCCTGCCAGCTGCCAGCTCTGAGTACGCATCCTGGTATAAGTCGGACCCCGCGGCCTTGCGGGGGTTGACTTGATTAAAGACCTTACTCACGTCGACCTCAGAACGCGAGATCACCCAGTCCTCTGGGTGGGTTTTTTCCTTAAACACTCCATATGAATTATGCCACTTTCATTACTTGATGAATTATTGCTTAGGCGGGGGAAAAATGGGCCTGGGTGGTCTCTGATTACAGGTTGTTAGTTCTTCCTAAGTAAGATGGTCAAGTGGATCCCTTTGATCCTGTAAATTCACCCAACTGATATTCCTTCTGAAAGGATCCATGCAATGTATGCCAAATACAACCTCTAATACAAACTTTAGCTATATTTTGCTCATGCTGTATCTATCACAAAGCCCAGATAGAGCCAACACCAGCCAGTATCACTAAGATCAGCATTTCCCAGATCTATTATTGATGTGGTGCATTAATGATCCAAATATTCTGTTCATATTGTCTTATGTAATTATGGTGGAATGCTTGTTAATGTTCATAAAAGGTAATAGGTGCAAAATATTCAGTTTTCCCAAAGGTTCATAACATTTGTGTTCATGATGCATGAGGCTGGCCTAATATTTCCAATTTGTTATTGAACTCTATGACTATTTCAGATTGATGTTAAACTTTTTTTTAAGATGCTTCTAACTGCCACTGTCAATCAATGTACCGGTATTGACAGAGAATAACGAGTGGCCAATCTGTCATTAACACGCTGTTTTCTTCACTTCCTCCCCTTCTCTCTGCCTCCATCAATTCCCTCCTTTCCCTCATTTTTCTTCATCGCCTATTTTTATTTCTGGTACTTCATCTCACCTCTCCTCACCTCACCAATCTCATAAATTCTACCTCCACTAAATCTTTATATCTTCCTCCCTCTTTCAACTCTTCCTATCATCCTCCCACCCCTCTTCTCTTCCTCCCCCCTCCCCTCCATCTTCCCTCCCTTTCCACCTCCCCTCCAGACGTTGAACTCGGTCACACCTCACCTGGACATGGAGGAGTGCAGCATCGCCCTGCTCCCCAGGAACCGGGAGAAGAACCGCAGCATGGACGTGCTGCCGCCCGACCGCGCCCTGGCTTTCCTGGTCACCACTGAGGGCGAGAGCAACAACTACATCAATGCGGCACTCACTGACAGCTTCCACCAGCCCGGCACCTTCATCGTCACCCCTCACCCGCTCCCCGCTACCACCGCTGACTTCTGGAGGTTGGTGTTTGACTACGGCTGCACCTCGGTGGTCATGCTCAACCAGCTCAACCAGTCCAACTCTGCCTGGGTGAGCTATATATATATATATAATATATATATATCAATATTTATGTATATTAAGATATACTGTATGCATTACATTTTTACATTTTAGTCATTTAGCGGACGCTCTTATCCAGAGCGACTTACAGTTAGTGAGTGCATACAACGGCGGTTGGAACCAAAGATCTCCAATTTGGACTCCAGACCAAAGGACAAATGTCGACCGGTCTAATGTCCATTGCTCGTGTTCCTTGGCCAACCAAGTCTCCTTATTATTGGTGTCCTTTAGTAGTGGTTTCTTTTTTAGCAATTCGACCATGAAGGCATGATTCACACAGTCTCCTCTTAACAGTTGATGTTGAGTTGTGTCTGTTACTTGAACTCTGTGAAGCATTTATTTGGGCTGCAATTTCTGAGGTTGGTAACTGTAATGAATTTTGACTGGTACTCTATATAATGTGTTCTCTTCTATTCTACTGTATCTTAGTCTATGCCACTTCGACATTGCTCGTCCATATATTTTTATATTCTTAATTCCATTCCTTTACTTTAGATTTGTGTGTATTGTTGTGGAATTGTTAGATATTACTTGTTAGATATTTACATTTACATTTTAATCATTTAGCAGACGCTCTTATCCAGAGCGACTTACAGTTAGTGCATACATTTTTATTTAATTTTTTATACCCCCCGTGGGAATCGAAGCTCTACGAACTGAGCTACATCCCCTGCCGGCCATTCCCTCCCCTACCCTAGACGACGCTGGGCCAATTGTGCGCCGCCCCATGGGTCTCCCGGTCGCGGCCGGCTACGACAGAGCCTGGATTCGAGCCAGGATCTCTAGTGGCACAGCTAGCACTGCGATGCAGTGCCTTAGACCACTGCGCCACTCGGGAGTAATTACTGCACTGTTTGAGCTAGAAACACAAGCATTTCGCTACACCCTCAATAACATCTGCTAAACATGTGTATGTGACTAATAACATTTGATATGAATCCGCATTTCACTTTTCACAATGAAAATTGCTGCAGATCTGAATCTAGTTCTGATTCTACTGGCAGTGTCTGGGATGCTGTATCTTAGCTCAACTCTTGCTCCTGTGGCAATAGTGCTGATAGCGGAAGACTTAACCAGTCAGAGCCATGCTGCTCTGCCATCACTTAGTCTCTGTATGAGTGTGTGTGCTTTTGACCACATTGATCTTCTGGAGTCAGTAACACTCCTCGCTTAATTTCGGTCTCTAGAGAAACAGCTATATTTACATTTTACATTTTAGTCATTTAGCAGAAGCTCTTATCCAGAGCAACTTACAGTTAGTGAGTGCATACATATTTAAATTTTTTGTCATACTAGCCCCCCGTGGGAATCGAACCCACAACCCTGGCGTTGCAAACGCCACGCTCTACCAACTGAGCTACACGGGCCTATATCACTTTTAGTCCTACCCCTAAGCTATAACTCAAGGTTTCTCTCTGCCTGACTGCCTATTAATGCATTATAAGACACTTGTCACAGGGCATTACCCCATCCCCCTCTGCTCCTGTCTCATCTCCTTAATACCGGCCCACCTCTCTCTCTCTCTCTCTCTCTCTCTCTCTCTCTCTCTCTCTCTCTCTCTCTCTCTCTCTCTCTCTCTCTCTCTCTCTCTCTCTCTCTCTCTCTCTCTCTCTCTTTCATCATTATGTGAGAGCCCTTCCTCTCAGTAAGGTCTGCTAGTTTTTGTTACCTGTTCCAATCATATGGCATTGGAACACTTTTGGAGTCGTCACAGGGTGGTTTTGGGGGTGAGTTGATTAGACTCTGATGTTTCCCTTTTGGAATCTTGACAGTGATCCAAATGAACTATTTTCTCATTCTCCTCTTTTCACTCTACCCTCTCTCCCTGTCTCTCTCTCTCCCCTCCTCTCTCTCTCACTAGCCCTGTGACCAGTACTGGCCAGAGCCTGGTCTACAGCAGTATGGGCCCATGGAGGTTGAGTTCCTGTCCATGTCAGCTGACGACGACATCATCACTCGTCTATTCCGTGTCAAAAACGTGACAAGGGTGAGTCACTAAGAGCATTTATACACCCATGCTTGCGCGCGCACACACACACACACACACACACACACACACACAAGATCCTCCCGTGTAGTTCTGGGATGATTCCTCACCGTTCTCATGATCATTGCAAATCCACGAGGTGAGATCTTGCATGGAGTCCCAGGCCGAGGGAGATTGACAGTTATTTTGTGTTTCTTCCATTTGCGAATAATCGCACAACTGTTGTCACCTTCTCACCAAGCTGCTTGGCGATGGTCTTGTAGCCCATTCCAGCCTTGTGTAGGTCTACAATCTTGTCCCTGACATCCTTGGAGAGCTCTTTGGTCTTGGCCATGGTGGAGAGTTTGGAATCTGATTGATTGATTGCTTCTGTGGACAGGTGTCTTTTATACAGGTAACAAGCTGAGATTAGGAGCACTCCCTTTAAGAGTGTGTGTCAGTGATGCTGTAGGTGGGTGTAGTGGTGGAATCAAGCGCAGGACACCGAAGGTACAGTCCAAAAGACTTTAGTGAAATTCCACACGGGAAAATGAACAAACTGGCCCGAAGGCGAAACTCCGCACGTAGGCGGACAAAACAAACGGGCGCACTACACAGGTGCGTAAAACGCTCCAACACAGTGGAGAGAATAGCTAAACCAAGTGAATAATGTAACCACGTCCAGTAACGCACGACAGACAATAAAGCAAACGAACATAGAAACATGCAACGATGGCAGCTAGAATTCCGGAGACAACGAACGCCGAAGCCTGCCCGAACAAGGAAGAGAGGCAGCCTCGGCCGAATCCGTGACAGTACCCCCCCCCCCCCCTTGACGCGCGGCTCCAGATGTGCGCCGACTCCGGCCTCGGGGACGACCAGGAGGACGCGGAGCAGGGTGCGTCGGGTGCCCACGATGGAATTCCGTCAGGAGAGACGGGTCCAAAATGTCTCTCCTCGGCACCCAGCACCGTTCCTCCGGACCGTACCCCTCCCACTCCACTAGATATTGGAGACCCCCCATCCGATGTCTCGAATCCAAGATGGACCTCACGGAGTAGGCCGCTGCCCCCTCGATGTCCAATGGGGGCGGAGGAGTCTCCCTGATCTCACATTCTTGGAGTGGGCCAGCTACCACCGGCCTGAGAAGAGACACATGGAACGAGGGGTTAATACTTTTATATTCAACAGGTAGTTGTAACTTGTAACACACCTCGTTCAACCTTCTCAGGACTTTAAATGGCCCTACAAACCGCCGACCCAGTTTCCGACAGGGCAGGCGGAGGGGCAGGTTTCTGGTAGAGAGCCAGACTCGATCACCAGGTGCGTACACCGGTCCCTCACTGCGGTGGAGATCGGTGCTCGCCTTATGACGACGGAGAGCCCGCTGCAGGTGGACGTGTGCAGCGTTCCATGTCTCCTCCGAGCGCCGCGCCCACTCAACCACCGCAGGAGCCTCGATCTGGCTCTGCTGCCAAGGTGCCAGAACCGGCTGGTAACTTAACACACATTGAAAAGGGGTCAGGTTAGTGGAGGAGTGGCGTAGAGAATTCTGGGCCATCTCGGCCCAGGGAACATACCTTGCCCACTCCTCCGGCCGGTCCTGGCAGTATGTTCTAAGAAACCTACCCACATCCTGGTTCACGCGTTCCACCTGCCCATTACTCTCCGGGTGGTAACCCGAGGTGAGGCTCACCGAGACCCCCAACTGCTCCATAAAGGCTATCCAAACCCTGGAGGTAAATTGGGGACCTCGATCAGACACAATATCCTCGGGTACCCCGTAGTGCCGGAACACATGGGTGAATAGTGCTTCGGCAGTTTGCAGGACAGTAGGAAGGCCCGGCATGGGGAGCAGACGACAGGCCTTGGAAAACCGGTCCACAACGACCAGTATAGTGGTATTTCCCTGTGAAGGAGGAAGGTCAGTAAGGAAATCCACCGAGAGGTGAGACCATGGTCGTTGTGGAACGGGCAGGGGTAGTAACTTACATTTACATTTTAGTCATTTAGCAGACGCTCTTATCCAGAGCGACTTACAGGAGCAATTAGGGTTAAGTGCCTTGCTCAAGGGCACATTTACGTCATTTAGCAGACGCTCTAGTCCAGAGCGACTCACAAATTGATGCATTCATCCTATAGCCAGTGGGATAACCACTTTACAATTTTTTTGGGGGGGGGTAGAAGGATTACTTTATCCTATCCCAGGTATTCCTTAAAGAGGTGGAGTTTCAAATGTCTCCGGAAGGTGGTGAGTGACTCCGCTGTGGGGTGGGGGGGGGTGTAGAAGGATTACTTTATCCTATCCCAGGTATTCCTGTAAGGCGCCTAGGCAGATGTCTAGGCGCCTTACACTGGGCGCACACCGAGCAGGAGGAAACATAAACCCTCACATCCCTTGCCAACGTGGGCCACCAGTACTTGGCACTAAGACAGTGCACTGTCCGGCCGATACCAGGGTGTCCAGAGGAGGGTGACGTGTGAGCCCAATAGATCAATCGATCCCGAACCTCGAGCGGAACGTACCTCCGACCCTCCGGGCATTGCGGTGGACTAGGGTCGGTGCGTAACGCCCGCTCGAGCTCAGCATCGACCTCCCACACTACCGGTGCCACCAGACACGACTCCGGCAGTATGGGAGTGGGCTCCACGGACCTCTCCTCCGTGTCATACCGCCGAGACAGCGCATCTGCCTTACCGTTCTGTGACCCAGGGATGTACGTGATCTTAAATGTAAACCGGGTCAAAAACATATTCCATCTTGCCTGGCGAGGGTTCAGCCTCCTCGCTGCCCGGATGTACTCCAGGTTACGGTGGTCCGTCAAAATGAGGAAAGGGTGTTGAGCCCCCTCAAGCCAGTGCCTCCACACCTTTAGGGCCTGTACCACGGCTAACAGCTCCCTGTCCCCTACGTCATAGTTTCGCTCCGCCGGACTGAGCTTCTTAGAATAAAAAGCACAGGGGCGGAGTTTAGGTGGCGCGCCTGACCGTTGTGAAAGCACGGCTCCTATACCGGCCTCAGACGCGTCCACCTCTACCTGAAATGGCAAAGAGGGATCCGGATGCGCCAGCACCGGGGTCCGAGGTAAACAGGTCCTTCAGCCTCCCAAACGCCCTGTCCGCCTCGGCAGACCACTGCAGACGCACCGGACCCCCCTTCAAAAGAGACGTGATGGGAGCTGCCACCTGTCCAAAACCCCGGATAAACCTCCGGTAGTAATTCGCAAACCCCAAAAACTGCTGCACCTCCTTCACAGTGGTTGGTGTTTGCCAATTACGCACGGCTGACACCCGGTCTACCTCCATCTTCACCCCTGACGCAGACAACTGATACCCCAAAAAGGAGACCGACTCCTGGAAAAACAGACACTTCTCTGCCTTAACATACAGGTCGTGCTCCACCAGCCTCCGCAACACTCTGCGCACCAGGGCCACATGCTCGACTCGGGTAGGCGAGTACACGAGAATGTCATCTATGTACACAACCACCCCCTGCCCCTGCATGTCCCTGAAGATCTCATCCACGAATGATTGGAAAACTGACGGAGCGTTCATCAACCCGTATGGCATGACCAGATACTCGTAATGGCCCGAGGTGGTACTAAAGGCTGTCTTCCATTCATCGCCCTCCCTGATGCGCACCAAGTTGTACGCGCTCCTGAGATCTAATTTAGTGAAGAAACGCGCCCCATGCAATGACTCCGTCATGGTCGCAATCAGCGGGAGTGGATAACTGTACTTCACCGTGATCTGATTGAGACCACGGTAATCGATGCACGGGCGTAACCCACCATCCTTTTTCTTCACAAAAAAGAAACTCGAGGACGCAGGGGAAGTGGAAGGCCGTATGTATCCTTGTCTCAGAGATTCGTCTATGTAAGTCTCCATAGCTTTCTTCTCCTCCTGAGACAGAGGATACACATGGCTCCGTGGGAGCGCAGCTCCTGCCTGGAGGTCTATCGCACAATCTCCCTGCCTATGGGGCGGCAACTGCGTCGCCCTCGACTTACTAAACGCAATAGCCAAATCCCCATACTCAGGGGGAACGTGCAATGCGGGCACCTGGTTTGGACTCTCCACCAAGGTAGCCCCTACGGAAACGCCCAAACATCGACCCACACACTGGGCAGACCACTCCATCAGAGCCCTCTCCTGCCATGAAATAGATGGGTTATGGGTACTCAACCAGGGCATGCCCAGCACCACCGGATACGCAGGCGAGTCGATCAGAAATAGCTGAATCATCTCCTGATGACCCCCCTGCGCACACATCCTAAGTGGCGCAGTGACCTCCCTGATCAAGCCCGCACCCAACGGACGGCTATCTAGGGCATGAACGGGGAAAGGGACATCAACAGGGAGACGGGGGATCCCTAAGGCTAAACAAAACTTCTTATCAACAAAATTCCCAGCCGCGCCTGAATCTACCAGCGCCTTATGCTGGGAATGAGGTGCTACCTGTGGGAAACGCACAGGTATACAGAAATGTGCAACAGAGAGCTCTGGGTGAGTGGGGCGCCTACTCACCTGGAAGGACTCCCCAGAGCGGGACCTGTCGTCCTCTCCCCTAGGAGGCCATCCCCAGCACCTAGCCGCGGTGTGTCCTCCCCGACCACAGTTGGTGCAGGAGATGGACCCCCTTGTAAGCCGACCCCTCCTCTCTCTAGCGCCAGCGCCCCCGAGCTCCATGGGGCACGGCTCGGAGGCGCTGGAAGGTGAAATGGACGGACCCCCCTCGGAACGTCCGCGGGTAGCTAGCAGGTTATCCAGCCTGATGGACATGTCGACCAACTGGTCGAACGAGAGGCTGGTGTCCCTACAGGCCAGCTCCCTACGGACGTCCTCGCGTAGACTACATCCGCCGCTAGAGTACGGAATTCTAAGGCGAACTCCTGGGCACTCCTCTTCCCCTGCCGGAGGAAGACCAGACGCTTCCCCCGCCGCTTTCCCCTCCGGGGGATGGTCGAACACCGCCCTGAAGCGGCGGGAGAACTCGTCGTAGGTGATGGTGTCCGCGTCGATCCTCCTCCACTCTGCATTGGCCCATTCCAACGCCTTCCCGGAAAGGCAGGAGATCAGGGCGGAAACGCTCTCATGTCCCGAAGGCGCCGGGTGCACGGTGGCCAGGTAAAGCTCCACCTGGAGAAGGAATCCCTGACACCCAGCCGCTGTCCCATCGTAGGCCCTCGGGAGCGAGAGTCGAACTCCTCTGGCTTCCGGAGCGGGAATGGGCTGACTTGCCGATGGTGCTGGCAGAGAGGATGGCGGTGGAGGAGTCCCCCAGCCTCGGATGGTGGCGATCACCTCCTGCAGTGCGGACCCCATCTGCAGGATCTGGTCACTTTGTTCTCGGACCCTGTCCTCCAGCGTCGCCTGGGCTGCTGCGGCTCCTGCTGATTCCATTCTTGAAGGTGTGTGATTTTGTCAGTGATGCTGTAGGTGGGTGTAGTGGTGGAATCAAGTGCAGGACACCGAAGTACAGTCCAAAAGACTTTAGTGAAATTCCACACGGGAAAATGAACAAACTGGCCCGAAGGCGAAACTCCGCACGTAGGCGGACAAAACAAACGGGCGCACTACAAAGGTGCGTAAAACACTCCAACACAGTGGAGAGAATAGCTCAACCGAGCGAATAATGTAACCACGTCCAGTAACGCACGACAGACAATAAAGCAAACGAACATAGAAACATGCAACGATGGCAGCTAGAATTCCGGAGACAACGAACGCCGAAGCCTGCCCGAACAAGGAAGAGAGGCAGCCTCGGCCGAAACCGTGACAGTGTGCTCCTAATCTCAGCTCGTTACCTGTATAAAAGACTCCTGGGAGCCAGAAATCTTTCTGATTGAGAGGGGGTCAAATACTTATTTCCCTCATTAAAATGCAAATCAATTTATAAAATTTTTTACATGCGTTTCTCTGGATTTTTTTGTTGTTATTCTGTCTCTCACTGTTCAAATAAACCTACCATTAAAATTATAGACTGATCATTTCTTTGTCAGTGGGCAAACGTACAAAATCAGCAGGGGATCAAATAATTGTTTCCCTCACTGCATGTGTGCGTGCGTGTGCGTATCCATATGTGCCGTCATGTGTGTGTGTCTTAATTATCTCTTTCTGTCTGTCTGAACGGTAGAAAGAACAAAGTTTGTGTACAATACTGTACTGTGTGTGGGTGTGTGAATGAGAAGGTGTGTTGCATCACCGTCAACCAGACTGGCACCTCCATGCGAGGCCTGTCCCTGCTGGCAGGCTGTGTGACAGGAGGTGCCCAGAACCACCCTCATAGAGTGGCATCCTCCTTCCCCCAATCTACCCCTCCTGTCATCCCTCCTCACCTACACTACCTTTACATTTACAATTTTTGTCATTTAGCAGACGCTTTTATCCAGAGCGACTTACAGTTAGTGAGTGCATATATTTTCATACTACCTCTCTCCTCCACACTGCACTGTCAAATAGCACCTCACACAACCCGGCAGGATGCAACCCACAGATAGCAGAGTGTGGGGAAATGGTGTGTTTGTCTGCGTGAAATGAGGGTGTGTGCGTGTGTGTGTGTGTGTAAGAGAGAAATAGGTCCATAGAGCATCTGAAAATCCCACTTCCATGATTGTAACTTCTCCTTGCATCCTATGTGTTTGTGTTAGTCCAATCTGCATGACTTACAGTGCATCCCTAGCTCCTTAAGTGTAGGACTGAAGGCTGTTACAGCTGTCACATGTGCCCCTGCAGCAGCAGAGTGATATTACAGCAGGTACTGGTATGGGCTATAGCTCTGAGCACACAGGGACATCTCCCTTTCACACCCCAGTTCCCAGTTTCACCAGCAGGACTAGAAATCCCACACACACTTATGGACACACATGAACGCACACAAGCAGGCAGGAACTCATGTGCACACACACACACACACACACACACACACACACACACACACACACACACACACGGTGTAGTCAGGTCTCATGAGCTTCATGTTTTCTTTCTGTCCCTAGCTCCAGGAGGGCCAGCTGGTGGTGTGTCAGTTCCAGTTCCTGCGCTGGTCAGCCTACCGCGACGTGCCCGACTCCAAGAAGGCCTTCCTCAGCTTACTGGCTCACGTACACAAGTGGCAGAGGGAGTGTGGAGATGGCCGCACCATTGTCCACTGCCTGTGAGTATTCCTGGCTTTTTTATGGCGGTTTTGGAGCAGTGACTTCTTCCCTGCTGAGCGGCATTTCAGGTTGTCGATATAGGACTTGTTTTACTGTGGATATAGATACTTTTGTACCTGTTTCCTCCAGCATCTTCACAAGGTCCTTTGCTGTTGTTCTGGGATTGATTTGCACTTTTCGCACCAAAATACGTTCATCTCTATGAGCCAGAACGCGTCTCCTTCCTGAGCGGAATGACGGCTGCGTGGTCCCATGGTGTTTATATTTGCGTACTATTGTTTGTACGGATGAACGTGGTACCTTCAGGCGTTTGGAAATTGCTCCCAAGGATGAACCAGTTCTTGTGGAGGTCTACACATTTTTTTTCTGAGGTCTTGGCTGATTTCTTTTGATTTTCCCATGAGGCACTGAGTTTGAAGGTAGGCCTTGAGATACATCCACAGGTACACCTCCAATTGACTCAAATGATGTCAATTAGCCTATCAGAAGCTTCTAAAGCCATGACATAATGTTCTGGCATTTTTCAAGCTGTTTAAAGGCACAGTCAACTTATTGTATGTAAACTTCTGACCCATTGGAATTGTGATACAGTGAATTATAAGTGAAATAATCTGTCTGTAAACAATTGTTGGAAAAATTACTTGTGTCATGCACAAAGTAGATGTCCTAACTGACTTGCCAAAACGATAGTTTGTTAACAAGACATTTGTGGAGTGGTTGAAAAACTAGTTTTAATGACTCCAACCTAAGTGTATGTAAACTTCCGACTTCAACTGTATACACCTGTTCTGAAAGGCCCCAGAGTCTGCAACACTACTAAGCAAGGGGCACCACCAAGCAAGCAGCACCATGAAGACCAAGGAGCTCAGCAAACAGGTCAGGGACAAAGTTGTGGAGAAGTACAGATCAGGGTTGGGTTATAAAAAAAATATCAGAAACTTTGAGCACCATTTTAAATCCATTATTAAAAAATTGAAAGAATATGGCACCACAACAAACCTGCCAAGAGAGGGCTTCCCACCAAAACACACGGACCAGGCAAGGAGGGCATTAATCAGAGAGGCAACAAAGAGACCAAAGATAACCCTGAAGGAGCGGAGATTGGAGTATCTGTCCATAGGACCACTTTAAGCCGTACACTCCACAGAGCTGGGCTTTACGGAAGAGTGGCCAGAAAAAAGCCATTGCTTAAAGATAAAAATAAGCAAACACCTTTGGTGTTCGCCAAAAGGCATTAGGGAGACTCCACAAACATATGGAAGATGGTACTCTGGTCAGATGAGACTATAATTGAGCTTTTTACCCATCAAGGAAAACGCTATGTCTGGCGCAAACCCAACACCTCTCATCACCCCGAGAACACCATGTTTTTCATCAGCAGGGACTGGGAAATTGGTCAGAATTGAAGGAATGATGGATGGCGCTACATACAGGGAAATTCTTGAGGGAAACCTGTTTCAGTCTTCCAGAGATTTGAGACTGGGACTGAGGTTCACCTTCCAGCAGGACAATGACCCTAAGCATACTGATAAAGCAACACTCAAGTGTTTTAAGGGGAAACATTTAAATGTCTTGGAATGGCCTAGTCAAAGCCCAGACCTCAATCCAATTGAGAATCTGTGGTATGACTTAGATTGCTGTACACCAATGGAACCCATCCAACTTGAAGGAGCTGGAGCAGTTTTGCCTTGAATTATGGGCAAAAATCCCAGTGTCTAGATGTGCCAAGCTTATAGATACATACCCCAAGAGACTTGCAGCTGTAATTGCTGCAGAAGGTGGCTCTACAAAGTATTGACTTTGGGGGGGTGAATAGTTATGCACTCTCAAGTTCTTTTTTTTGGTCTCATTTCTTGTTTGTTTCACAATAAAAAATATGGTGCATCTGCAAAGTGGTAGGCATGTTGTGTAAATAATATGATACAAACCCCCCTAAAAATTCATTTTAATTCCAGGTTGTAAGGCAACAAAATAGGAAAAATGCCAAGGGGGGTGAATACTTAGCTTAGTTCATCACAGACTGGAGGTCAGCTTGGCCTTCACCTAATCAATCACCAGCAAACAACATAGCTAACACCCAATCAGAGACAGTGAAGTAGGCATTACCTGTGATAAACACCTTGTTCAGGTGTAAGAGGTGGTTTGAGCAGTAAGCATGACACAACATGGCTTCTTGGCTGCACTGCACTGTACTCTCCACCTCTCATAAGAACTCAGCTCAGGACCTGACTGAATATAGAGCTATGGAGCCTTCTGCACATTGCTGAACCACGACACGTGCACCCCCGCCACCACAGTCCAAAAACACATCACTCAGTGCTGTCACACAGCGTTACCCACGACAACCGGGAAAGAGATTATGGGGATGAAATCAATTATGGCTTAATACAGAATGTGCCGGCTCTCATGACAGTAAATACCAGGCTGCCAAACTGCTGACGCCGATTGATTACCTTAATATTGCCCATATTGGCGGCTGTGGCGACTGGGCGCCTGCCTTCCCAGGGTGCATTTCAGGAATGAGGATGTGGCCTCGCCTCCGTTGTTTATTGATGTTGCTTTAGCTTATGATGATAACATAGACCGTCTAGCACCATGAAATGCCACACACAACATGCTTACTTCTCAATTTGTTCTCCCTTGTGATATTTCTTATCCCGTTCCTTTTATGTTATGTTAGGTGTTGTCGCTCTGATTCAGACTTTTTCGAGCGAGCAAGCAGTGTACACTAAAGCAGCATTATCAGATTGCACATGTTCAGTGCTGCTCATTCTATTTGTTCTCGATTCCCACTGAAACACATTAAGATTTTCCTACTCGGCTGTATTGAAGGGGTGGAATACTAGTCCTGCAAGTCGTCCAGCTCTTTTTCAAATTGGTTGAGGCTAAGAAATGTAGTCAGAATAATCAATGAAGCCTTAAAAACCCACTCAGATAGTAAAGAGGAAAGACGATAAGTGAGAAATGCCATGTTTTTATAGTGGTCTAGCATCAATGACAGTTACTGCCCAGTATAGTATACAAAATGTAATAACCCCTTCTCCGGGCTTCGGAGGTTCCCGCGCCATCATCCCTTACCTGGACTCCTTCCCAGGGGGATTCTGTCTCGGATTCGGCCACGGACTCGGATCCTCTACGTTCCCAGGGGGACTCTGCCTCAGACTTGGATCAGCTGTGTATGATGCAACGGCTCCTCCGTCAGCCACAAATGCGTTTTGTGGCCGGCTTGAGGCGCAATAACTGCCGCACCTCCTCTGCCATTTCACCAGCCATTATCATCGGCAGCTCTATGATGAGAAACATCTAGGTTCCTGGGGAAAAACCCTTTTCTATCCTGGAGCACCAAAACGGGACATTACTAGACTGTTTCCTACCATTCTACAACATCTGCCGGGGGCTGACAATCTCGTAGTCCATGTGGGGTCAAACGACATTAGGAGGGCTAGCATGGAACTGCTTAAACTGGATTTTAAAGAACTGATTCAAGCTCTGAAAGAGTCAGATTATCTCAGGCCCTGTACAATCGCTGGGCCACGGCAGTGAACGGTTCAGCAGGCTACTGGCATAACAGATCTAGCTAAAAGACTACTGTAGCTCTGTTGGCATAACTTTTATAGATAACTTCGACACCTTTTGGAAACAGAAGATGCCTTACAGGAATGACAGAGTCCACCCAAATCTTCTTGGTGCCTGGACCCTGTCCTCGCATTTCAAGGCCGCGTTGAGACAATGACTTATCAGTGACCCAAGCCCTGCTCAGATAATCCCTACCATTGTGTTGCTGAGCTGTCTTAGTGCTGCTGCAAATGTACATTTTCCCAGAGGTGTTGGCATTCATAATGTAAGTAACCTAATTTATGTTCCTCCAAATGCCTCTGTCAAAACAACAGCTATTCTCAGCAGAAAGCATGAACCTATGAACCTGAGTTATACTGTTAGCACTGAGACGTTTTGCCCTAGTAAGAAGCCCACTGTGAGCAGTTCACCCTGCACTATCAGCTCAAATATACATAATACTGTCATTAGTGTCATGTGTTTTTGCTAGCAACAGAAAGCATTCATATACTGGCTACATTCCTTTGATGATACAGTTGTAGCAATATATGGTTATAACATCTACAGAAGAGACAGGAATGCCAACGGAGAAGTCGCTCTGTATAAGAGCGTCTGCTAAATGATGTAAATGTAAATGTCTACCTCTGATAAGCCTCCCAGTAAAGCAATAAAAACAATCAAGAATCCCTGAAAAATTCTACAAATAGCCTACATTAACACATGTAGCCTAAGAAACAAGGTTCATGAATTCGATAACTTGCTAGCAACAGAAAGCATTCATATACTGGCTACTGCTGAAACTAATTTAGATAATTCCTTTGATGATACAGTTGTAGCAATATATGGTTATAACATCTACAGAAGAGACAGGAATGCCAACGTGAAGGTATTGCTGTTTATATTCAGAGTCATGTTCCTGTAAAGCTTAGAGAGGATCTCATGTCAAATGCTGTTGAAGTAATATGGCTACAGGTTCACCTGCCTCACCTAAAGCCTATTCTTGTGGGAGGTTTCTATAAACCACCAAGTGCTAACAGTCAGTATCTGGATAACATGTGTGAAATGCTTGATAATGTATGTGATATCAATAGAGACGTATACTTTCAGAATATTGACTGGCTTTCATCAGGCTGCCCACTCAAGAGAAAGCTTCAAATTATAACTAGTGCATGCAACCTGGTTCAGGTTATCAATCAACCTACCAGGTTAGTTACAAACAGTACAGGAATGAAATCATCAACAAGTATTGATAATATCTTTACTAATGCTGCAAAAATGTGTTTGAAAGCAGTATCCAAATCAATCGGATGTAGTGATCACAATATAGTAGCCATATCTAGGAAAACCAAAGTTCCAAAGGCATGGCCTAATATTGTGTATAAGAGGTCATA